TATCTCAAAGTAATTTTATTTTAACCAGATCTTTATTTAATCTAAATTCTGAACTGGCTAACTTGAAATTCTAACAAAAAAAATTTGCCATGTTTGGGCAAAAAATGTCATTGACAGTATTTAAGTTTTATGAATGATGCATGCCTGATTCTTTATTGGCTTAAACTTAAATCTACATCTAGTTTTGAAATATTGGCCTCCTTCTGCAACAAAACATCCATGGCTCATCTAGAGCAAGTCTGGGCATTGGTTATGGTTGGAACTTGGTAGCCCATTACTGACGTGCCAAAAATCCAACACTAAACTTAACTTTATTTCATATGGTTCATTTCCAAAGCCATTCCTGTGTTTTTAATGAGCCCTGAAGTTTTCAATTTAGATATTGATACTCATCTGTCTGCAGGACCCAATATCTGAAGCACATATGAAGGCCAGAGTTGGACTGGTTGTTAGAGGCTATTTGAGACGCATGTTGTTGAAAGCTTTTTATGGGTTTAAGAGTTGTGATGTTTGAGTGACCAGTAGTGATATTGTGTTCAGGGGTGCCACTTTTCTGGGATGCCCCAGAAATCTGAGTTTTAAGGGGTCAGATTTTTTCCACCCTCCGGTTTGGCCCACTACAATTTAAAATTTAGTAGATTTAGATTTTGATGTAAATTTCTTCACACTTTGCTAGCTCCAATAATAAGACTCCATTTTGAAACAAAATTGACCCCCTAGATTTTCACTTGACATGCTCAGTAAGCATGTTTTATTTTTGAGAATGTATGCAAATAAACTAAACAAGTTTTATTGTTCACTGGTTTGTTAAAAAAAATTTGAATTGAAAACATTTTAGCTGGGACACACTTTATTTCAGTGTTTGTAAAGTTTGTTTTTTTTTGGTTTCAGAGTTTATAAAAATGAAGTTATGTGGTTTAATGGGAAAATTAATGTGACACCCTTGATAGCGTGTGACTGTGTATTGATAAACTAAGTTTTCATTTGTGATTATTTGGATGAGTGAACTGCTGATCAAGTGTGTTTCATGTGTAGGAATGGGTCAGTTTACAATAGAGTGATAATAGAGATGTTTTGGTTAAAAAGCATTGTTAATCAAATTAATTGTTACATAATTATTTAATCTTAATCAGATACCACACTAATATAACTCACCAAGTCACTACAATCTTGAGAAAAAATGTTTCTATGGTTTTGTTTCATTAGGGATCTGTCCAAGGCTCAGTTCAAGCTACAGATAGATTGATGAAAGAACTCCGAGATATTTACAAGTCTGATAGCTACAAAAAAGGTGAATAATTTAGATATTTAACTATTTGTCATAGTTCCTACATTTCACTAGAAAAAACATTAAGTAAACAGTTGAGGTACCTTAAAAATCAAATGCTTGTGATAATTAGTTTGGCTGTCTGATAGAGAGCCTTTTTGTTTTTCTTTTAAATTCCATTTCTTATGGATGTGACTTTTACTAGATGTTTCATTAGTTGTCTAAGTTATTCAATATGTTTGTCCAACAATTGACGTCAGAACCATGACAAGGCTCTAAATAATGACTAATCAAATTAATGATTGAAACCAATTGAATAAATGAATTAAAAAACTTTTTCTCTACCACTTGTCAGAGATCTACACCATTGAACTAGTCAGTGATTGTTTGTATGAATGGAATGTACGCTTAAAAAAGTAAGTACATTAGATTTTGAATGATATAATCAATGCATTGTTACGAGTTACAGTGAATGTCACAAACTTGCCTGATTTGGTAGTAGTCTGTGCTTTCATGTTTATGGTTTGACTTGTATTTCAGAGTAGACAAAGACAGTGAATTGTATAAAGATATGCAAACTTTTAAAGAGAAAGAGGGAAAAGATCATATTTTACTTAATTTTACTTTTAAAGTAAGTCTGAGTCTTAGAGTAAGTACCAATAACATTTTTTTGTCGGAAATAAAATCTTATATGTGAACATAAACTAAAATGTATATCTCTGCTGTTTCTAAATGTTAGTCTGTGTCTTTATTTCCCCAGGAAACATTTCCCTTTGATCCACCTTTTGTCAGAGTGATCAGCCCTGTTGTTTCCGGTGGCTATGTACTCGGTGGTGGTGCCATCTGCATGGAATTACTCACAAAGCAGGGCTGGAGCAGTGCCTACAGTATTGAGTCTGTTATTCTCCAGATAGCAGCAACACTGGTCAAAGGGAAAGCCCGCATTCAATTTGGGGCCACTAAAGTAAGCTCCCTTTATGTATAGAACTTGTTTTCATGGGAAAGAGTGTGCCCTAAACATTATTTTGAAAACTCTTAAGTTGTTAATCTAATTTTGTGTAATTCAGGATCATTTGCCACCAACTATGCTTGGCTTCAAAACTGAGGGGTCCTGGATTCGAATCCTGGTGAAAGGATTTTAAATTGCTGGATCTTCAGGTGCTTGAGTCCACCCAGCTCTAATGGGTACCTAACATTAGTTGAGGAAACGTAAAGGTGGTTGGTCGTTGTGCTGGCCACATAACACCCTCCTTAACTGTGGACCACAGAAACATCATCTGCCCTATAGATCGCAAGGTTTGAAAGGGAAACTTAAATTTACCAAAAGAACGAATTTTAATGAAATTTTAAAGGACTTTTAAAAAAATCTTGTATCCAGCTTCTACTTCAAATTTCCCTCTATGGCTTACTTAAGTTGCAAAGTGACTATGGATCCTCTCTGAGAGAGGAATGCCTTAGCATTAGCTATGGTTAGAATGATGTCGCCCACGCAGTAGATGCATCCAAAGGAACTGCAAGTGTGCTAATATTGTATGATATTACGTCATAGTTTATGTTTTGTGCGAAAGCAAAATGATTGAACGGAAATAAAAAAGATCATTTTTTCTATGTCTACTTTGATAAACACAGTCTCCATTGTTATTATTACTATTAATGTCTACAGTATGTTAATTTTATATATTTATCTGTGACAACAGAACAGCAAGAGCATGTTCAAGTTTGGATCAGGGGTGTCACAGCATTGCCTGGGTGCTGCAAGTTGCCTAGGGGTTGCTAGCTACTGATTTCTCCTCAGGGTTGACTCTTCCAATGTTTGGAAATAGCAGCAAGGCAGCAGAGTTTTCCTTCTAGGTGTATAACCAGCCAAAGCTAATGACATCCTCCTGCCAAAGCTTACTGGTTCTAGCGCCAGTTACTCACCTATGCCTCTTCTGTTAGTGATAACAGTTCCTTCCGACCCAATGTCTGAAGGCCAGGATTTGGAGTGGTTGTCAGAGGCTATTTAAGATGCATGTTATTGGAAGCATTTTATAGGTAGTGGATTATTACAACTTCTGACTGACACCAACTTTGAGGTGGTGATAGTTTATATCCATTATCATTTCCAGCAACAACAACCATATGGAACCAAATAATTCTTAAGTGTATAGAATTTATAATCTAACAAGTGGTACACCTCTCTGTAAGCCCCTTTCATCAGAGACATGTTGGTGGTAAACTATTGAAGTTGGTTTCAAAATGTGTGGGAAAAGAATTAGCTTATAGTGCTGTTAAATATTGTGAAGGATGAAATCTTAAGAACAGTAGGTGCAGTCACTTGTTGTGAGTTTAACTATTCAGTTTTTTTCTTTCAGAATCAATACACTCTGGCTAGAGCACAACAGTCTTTCAAATCTTTGGTTCAAATTCATGAAAAAAACGGTAAGTACTAGGTCAAACTAATGTGACAAGACTTTAGAGGTTTCTTTATTACATAGTACTATAACACCTACACATCTGATCTCTGCATTTTTTGTTAATTAAAAAGTTGAAAGTGAACTAAGTTCCTATGTGTCTAAATGATTGCAACTTGTATCTTCTGTCACGAAGGAAGGAGTATATATATATTTTACTACTGGTATTCTTTTTTCTAGTGTAAATATTTCCTTTTGCTTAATATTATTTTGGGGGAGGGGGAAGATGAGAATCTCAAAAAGCTGACAGCAAACCCGTTCTCATAAGCAGGCCAATAGCTGACCAAGTTTCTCATGTAGGCAAATATTTATAGTTTTTTTTTAAAAGTAAACTTCCCATTTATTACAGAAAGATCCTTGTTCACATAACACACAATAAAAGAAAAAACAAGATGAGTCATAACATTGAACTTTCAATACAACTTATTCTGTGTGCTATTTTATTCTCTCCTTTTGTTCCATTGTACCACTTGTCTTCAAGCCTGACCCCCTTGAATTCAAAACTTGTCCTTTAAAGTATGGCAGGTAGTCAACTCATGGAAGATGAAAGGACTGAACTAACAGTCTATTCCATGTTACCATTTTTATGTAGAAGCATTGTTTGAACCTTGATTATTTCCCTTGCTCTGTTACAGGTTGGTTTACTCCTCCAAAGGAAGATGGCTGACATAACTGAATGTGTTCAGCCTATAAATATATACATAGTATAAATATATTTAGTTTTTGGTTTGAAAGCTGGTGTTTGTACATAGATATATAATTATATTTACATTGTAAGGTGCGCTGACCCACATTGTACATGATGTATTATGTGCCAAGTGTGTGTGTGTGAATGTGTGTGTGTGCGCGCGCTCCACAGCTATATAACAAGTCAACACAGTGAGATGGACCAACATATTTATATCTCAGCCATAGAGAGAAGAAAGGCAAATGAAATCAAATCTACCTGCAACTTGAACTCTGAACTTTACATGATGGTACTAAAGGTCATAGTTCAGCTAATGGCCCAGAATGTTGGTTCTATCTGATGTCTTTCGTAATGTACATCTTCAGACTTGGACTCTACCAAGAACCAAGTCCTTCATTTTCACATCAACTTTTGTCTTATAAGGACAAAAAAAAAATAAGAAAAAAAAAACGAAAAAAAAAAATTATGAAACTTTTTTTTTTCTTTGTATTATTGAGATGTTTTGTTTTGTTAGGAAATGCATGTTTTTATATGAACTGCCCCGTTGGATTTACTTAGTTCATTTTGATAGAGGAAAGATTTACTCTGTTAGTTTTTTTTTTTTTTTTTTTTTTTATTTGATCCTGAGCAGGTCAAAAAGTTGAAAGGTTGATCTATTTATAGTTCTGATTTGTGATACTCTGAATGCTGCTTCATGCTATCTCTTACAATCATGTCATTTAGAAGGCGGCCATTAAAATTCAGTCCTTTTGTACAAGCTGCACTATCAATGAAACAATGACTCTTTCATGCATGCCCTGGGTGGTTAGTCTTTAGTAGTGTAATATGCACATCTTCAGGTCAGGTTGACCCGTCTGTCAATTCCATTTTAAAATATCTTGAGTTTGTTTCCATTAACTTCTAGACTCAATGACCTGTGAAAAAAAAAATCAGCTGTCCTCTAGTGTCTCTACATTCAAATGGACTTTGTGATATTGAATTTACATAGCATTAGCATTGATTATATCTGATAGGGGAAACTACCATCTGATAGCTAGAGGAGGTTACTGCCCTTTTAAATGCCTAGTTTGGTATGATTTGTCTCAGTTGTAAGCTTCCAGCTCTCTGTACAGAGCAACTGGGGCATAGATAACAAATTTTTTTTTTTAACTTAAAGAAGCTTAGTCAGTTCTTTGTCTTTAAGAAGGAACTCATTTGGTCTATCACGATCAAAACAACCTTGGTTTAGTTGCAGAATGTGTTACTTACATAGCAATACAAGTGTATTATAGGCAAAATGTTAGAATTCACAATTGGCAAGTCTCAGAATCAAGTAATTTACAATTTGTCTTTGACCGTGTGATTTCCATCAGATCTTGTGTAAGGAGATTCTCAAGTAGGAGACCCAGTATCCCAACACTTGGGCCATGAACTAAATTGAGAGGGTGAAATAAAAACGACTTTCCATGCGTTAGGTTCTTGCTGACATTGTTTTAAATGTTTGCCACTCTACTGGACGGGTGTTTCTCTAACCCAATTGCGCTGAGGGCTGGATAGGTCTCTGACTAGAACACAGGCTTTCTTATTATGTTTAGTCATTTTGTGTACATAGCAAATGTCATATCACTGAATGTCCTGATTAAACCAATGAATATATTTGTGCATATGGTGGTGTTGCTCCCATCTATTGAGTTAGCTGAATGTGTGTGTGTCAATTGTCAATGTTTGAAGTACATTTTTTTTTCCTTAATTAAGATCATCTGTTTATGCCTTCTTTAAAGAGTGTCTGGGTCAATCGAAAATATAAAAAAAAAATGGAATGAAAAATTAAGGGTCAGGGTAATGAACATCTGGGTCATTATATAATGACCTTCACTTAATATTGGTATTATGTAATGATCTTTGCTTTACATAATATAATGTTAGCTCAGGATGCTTCACGTGACTTTGAGTTTCGGGTACCCATTAAAGCAAGAGGATCGGTTAGATCTGCAAATAATTCAATTTTGCCATCAGAATTTAATCACACGACTCAGCTTCCGGTTCCGCTTGCACATTGTCAGGCTCAGTTGGTACTCAACATGTGGGGCTGTAAACAAACCCAGGCCCATGGTGTTCAAGGGAGAGCAGCGCATTTGTGCTAATACAACTATGAAATTGAAGAGAATATTTTTAGTTCTGATATTGTACAGCCTTACACAAAACTTAAAACTGGTTGTGTTTGATACACTATGCTTACACAAAACAGGTGTGTTCAATAGACTAAGCTTACACAGAGCTGATGTGTTTGATAGACTATGCTTACACAAAACTAGTGTGTTCGATAGACTATGCTTACACAGAGCTGATGTGTTTGATAGACTATGCTTACACATAACTGGTTTTGATTGATAGACTATGCTTACACAGAACTGATGTGTTTGATAGACTATGCTTACACAAAACTAGTGTGTTCGACAGACTATGCTTACACAGAGCTGATGTGTTTGATCGACTATGCTTATACAAAACTGGTGTGTTCGGTAAAGTGCACGCCGTTATCTTGATTGCTTTATGACTTAGCTGGCTGCAGGATTTATTGGGGTTGTTTAATTTAAAATAGGTAGACCGTAGAATGTTGTTCTTTTTACAAAACATATCAACGCGCTCTGGTACACAATTTTGAACACGTTATTTATTATTTGGTCTAAACTGCTAGTGACGTTGCAGGTCAGTGTTCGCGAGGTCAGTGGTCAGGCCTACTATAACCATTGGTCTCTCTTGAGCCTACATTATGTTTGTTCACAGTGCTAAATTAAATTCATGTATAAATAATGGGGAGGCTTATTACTAGGAATTATTTATTGGCCGCCAGCCCCCCCATTTTCTCTCCGTCGTTAATTCTATTAATAGTAGAAACACTTCAAGTCTCATCAAAGGACACTACTGTTGGATATGTCTAATGTTTGCTTCGTTTAACCCTTAAAACGCGTGTGGTGGATTAGCCTCTAAACATCAGAATTGTACTTCCATTTTGTATGCACTTAAAGGGTTAAAAACATCGCCTATTGTGTTAGCTGTCTTTTTCATCCTCATTGCTGGTAATAGTCAGCAACGTCATTTCAGTGAGTCTCATTTTAGTACTTGTACTACCCCCACACCATAAACACACTTCTTTACCTTTTACCTGTCCTTTAGTCTAATGGACTGTTGGGTAACACACACACAATATGATAACCGTCTCTAACCATTTCACTATCTTTTGCTAGGTGTTTTTTGACGGTCGTTGACGTGTAGCATCAAACTGCAGGAAGACAACTAAACCGCTGTAGGTGTAATATATCTTAACTAATAAAACTTCTTACTTAGACATAGGTCCTCCCGCGCCGTTTGGCGCATTGGGCGGCAAGCTGTCTCCACAAAAATCTGGCACTCCTCCCACCTGGTGTCCACTGTTCTGAGGTCCTCCATGAAAGCGTGGCGCCAAGTTATACGAGGACGTCCCTGTTTGCGCTTTCCTCGTATTGGCCTTCATGTCATCGCTACTCTTGGCATGCGTAGTTCATTTTGTCAGAGAACATGTCCCGCAAACCTCATGTCACAACTTCAATAAGTGTTCGACTCCCAGTTCGGCATAGGATTTCCTTGTTTGAGACCCGATCTGTGTAACTGACTACCAAAATACGTCTCAGCCATTTTTGTTGAGCCACATTTAGTCTTTTCTCAATTTTGACAGATGACTTCCATGTCTCACATGCATATGATGCTGTTGGGATGACGATTGTGTTAAGAAGGTGTATTTTTGTTTTTCAAGTCCAATGGCTTGTCTTGTCCAAATAAGCTGCAGCCTTTGGTAAATGCTCCCTGCCATTCATATTCGGCACGCTACATCATGGTAGGCATCTCCATCATTTGTTATGATGCTGCCAAGGTACGTGAACTTGTCCATCTCTTCAAGCTTTGACTCGCCAAGTCTGACGGGGGCACCCTTTGCCTTATATCCCACTCGCAAAATTTTAGTCTAATCCAAGTTTATGCGGAGGCCAATTTTGGGTGTCTCTCTGTCTAGGCTCTCCGTCATTTCTTGAATGCATTTATTTGCAGCTCCGAGTAGTGCAACGTCGTCGTCAAAGTCCAAGTCCGTCATTCGGTTTGTTCATGAATACCAAAGGCAGTCTGGTTCATTGCTCTCCTCATTATGTAGTCGATGGCTAGAAGGAAGAGGAAGGGAGTTAAGATGCTGCCCTGTCTCACCCGTGTCTCACAACTGTCTCGATGCTAACAAAAAACTCGGTTATTTTTTCTTCTGTTTTAATGCAGCAACTAGATAACTTTACAATCACTCCTTGTTGCCAGTTCTCATGGATTTTAGAAGTTCGCCAACAGAGAATCTGTTAAAAATGCACTGCGCCCCATCCCCCATGGTTTAGCATTTCTGCTGACAATAACTTGAAAAAATTCCTTGTGAACAATACTAAATATAACGTTTATTATTATATAATCAACTTGTGATAAAATGAAATAAATGTAGTAGACTTTAGTAATAATATAAAATTGTATTTTGAACAAAATTTAATTCACTACAATACCACTGCTGCTCAGTCTCACGTTCTGGAGTCGTCTCCCCTAATTAAGTCCTCTGACAACAATGCCACCTTTCTTGCATCATTCACAACCAATCGCTAACCTATTCCCACCGTCAGCATAGAAACACACATCCCATAACACCAGGATTATAATGTCTTCCACAGACAGCCCTGTACGTTTCTCACTGTTGTCCTCGCATTGCTTCCTTTGTCTGCCTCTCTTTTCCCTGGTTCTGTTCCCTGCCCGGAAGATTTTGTTACACGGCCGTACACACATATAAAAAAGCAAGTGTTTCGCAGTCTCTAACACGGCTATAAACTAGCATGCGGCTGTACCTTCGCTTGATTCACACAACCATAACCACCTCTGAGTCATCAACAGGTATTTTTATGTTGATCCCTGCAATCAATACGTGATTATGTGACATGCAGACGCGATGTGTACCAGCTAGCAGGTCTGGGCCACAAAACAAAAAATTTATTAAAAAACCTAACCGGAAAAGTTTACTGAAGCGACAGTAGCTTAAAACCATAGCTTATGCCTAAAACTAAAAGTAGATCTTAGTCTAATAGAGTGGGTTTCTTAGAATTGTTTCGTTTAACTTCACAAACTATTTGCTTAGCAAATACCACCAGGTTGTGTTGCCTCAGTTTCGTGCTGCCCTATTTATTCATCTTTGTTTAGAAAACAAAAGGCAATTTTGTCTTTTCAGCGGGCTGCTTCTTTTGTAGTACTTTTGGAGTGATGTCCTAGGCCTACTGATGGTAAACAAATGCAGAGTCTTTTTTTACTTCTAAGTTGTAATGAGAGAGAAAAAAAAGGGCCAGGGAGGTAAATAAACCTATTTTGATATAAAGATAAAGGCCTAGACTTGATCTGCAGGGTCGGCCTTGGATAATAGGAGACCCTAGACTAAGTGAATCTGGTGGCCCTTAGGAACAAAAAAATTAAACTGCGAAGAAATAAAATTATGCAATTTATTTAAAACCTTCCTGTCTATATCTAAATTGACAAATAACTGAAATTCATATATCGCAATTCCCGTACTTCAGGGACAGACTAGTAAACATGGAGTCATAGTGCTCTACTATGTTTGAGATCAGATTTAAGTTCCACAATTTTTTTTTTAGTCCTGTGGGAGGACTAACCAATTGAATATGCCTAAGGCCGGCCCTGTGACATGATTGGAGACTTACATACGAAAAGTTTTTCACAGCAATAATAATAATAATAATAATAATTTTATTTATAAAGCGCTGTTAACAAACAAAATGTAGGCTCAAGGCGCTGTAACAACATTACAAACACAAGAGCTAACATGACAAACTAATCTAAAAAAGTTTTAAACAGATAGGTCTTAATGTTCTTCTTAAAAGTGGTGTAGCATGTTATCTGTCTGAGATCAATGGGGAGTGAGTTCCAAACCTTTGGTCCGTGAACTGAAAAAGCCCGCAGACCGTAGCTTTTGAGGGAGAAACGTGGCACTGAGTCCATTGAGCGCAGGGCTCTCTGGGGGACATATGGAGTAATCAGTTCTCTAAGGTACAAGGACATCTCGTTGTTATATATACACTGATGACAAAGTGTGGCGACCTTGTAATCAATTCTCGCTTTCACGGGAAGCCAATGGAGCGTGCGCAAGAGCGTAGTAGCAGAATCTTGTCTATTTTTTTTAAGGACTATTCGAGCGGCGTTGTTCTGTATGCGTTGCAGCTTGGCTATTTTGTCATCAGGTATACCTGCTAGCACGGCGTTGCAGTAGTCAAGGCGGGAGAGTATGAATGCCGCAGCTAGCGTTTTTGTTGACTCCGTTGTTAAATATGGTCGGATCTGGCCTAATCTGCGCAGCTGCAGATAAAGACCTTTGCAGAGCTGACTTATGTGTGGGTCGAAAGATAGTATTGAGTCGAAGAAAACTCCAAGATTCCGCACTACATGGACAAAAGGAACATGGCAGTTCGTGATAAAGAGAGAATCTGTGCTTTCAACTTTTGAGACCTTGTTCCTAGTGCCAATCTTAATTATTTCTGTCTTGTCTTCGTTCATCTTGAGTTTATTTTCAACCATCCAATCGCTCACCCTTGCAACGGTACTACTGA